TTGTTAAAATATAATCTATTTTTTTTTTTAAATTAATCCGTTGTTAGAACATCCTTTTCAGTAAATATATTCCTGTGCTAGGATGTCCCGCACTTCCGTAGAAAATTACTTTAAAACAAATAAAACTTTATTGTTTTAAATAACAAAACTTAAATTTAAATAATAACAAAATAGTTTTTTTTTAATTTTTAGGTTGGCCTCTATGTCTTCGTTCTAGGTTTCGTGTTAGGTTATGTATATTGTGTGAAATGTACAAATGATGGATTGACTAACCCAGCAACTGACGCATAGAATTGTTAATTAACTTCGGCTGTGTCATGTACTCGAATGTCAATAAAATAAAGGGTGATAACGAAATCTACCAATTAATTACAAACAACCTCGACCGCTAGTGGACGCGGTCCATTTTTACACTGATAAAGTTATTTAATATATTATATCTCACTTTTATTAAATTTAACCAATATAAGACCGAAAAATTTATATTCAAATGCGACTTATTTTGTTGTATTACATATTCTAAGAATTGTGTCTTGAAATAATGTTTACATGTTAAAGGTGATAATGTGATATGTTTGCTACTTTTGAGGTAAGTGAGAATAGTTCGTAGAAATTTTGCAACTTACTGTAAAAGAGAGGATATAATATTATGTATAAACTCAAAAGTTTTACGAACATTATTGACTTTTGTACAATTTATATACATATTTAGTATAACGTTTATACGTGGTAGAGCTACGCTGCAGCCATATTATAGTTGTAGCACGAATGGGTCGGCTCGACCGGGGAAGGACCACGCTCCCACGAAATACCAGAGTAAGATAGCAGCTTAATACTGTTGTATTTCGTATGGTGAGTGTAGAGATCCGGAGACCCTTTTTTATTGAAAACGAGGCATTTCATCTTAGTCCTCAGGGGTGATAACGCATCTGCGTTTGGATTCTTAATCGAGGACAAATATAGATGTCTATGGGCCACAGTATCCACTTACTATCGGTTGGACTGTGTGCTCGTTTATCACCTCTATTCTATGTATAAAAAAAACTTAGCTGAGTTTCGGTAGCATGTGGAACATAGAATTTCCCCGTGGATTGACTCGTAGGGGAATATTTGCCATAGTTGCTTCGCTTGGCACGCGGGTTGGTAAGCACAATTTTCTTATTTGTTTGGTTGCTTATAGGAAGACGCCGCACCCATCTCCTGGTTAGTTTACCCCCGTCGTTGACCCCGGGAGATATGGGTGTAGATATTATTCGCCACTACACGATATTTCATGTTAATAAATAACGTTTATTACAATATTTATTATATTTTTTTTTCAAAAATATTCAAAAATAAAAACAGAACAGAAAATGTGACATTAAGAGGATAGAGTAAGTCAGCTCAAATTCTAATTTCGCCCCCACTTCCCCGCGCGTCGTATGCTATGTACCGATATGTTTGTAATCAGTAATACTGTAAGTAGAAAGGTCGTTAGACACTTATTTCTTTAGGTTTATCATATTTATGCCTGTTTCTTAACGTCAAGCCAGCCGCTTCTTATTTTTATCACGGTTATTTCCCATTTTAATTTTACGTCGTACTGTTGCGTAATGTATATTCTGATCGTAAGCGACACAACTTCTCCCTTCAAAAGCCTAAGCGATACTAACGGGCGACAGGAATCAAGCTCAAGACGCCGATAGTTTAGGTAATTTCTTTTTACAGTGAAAATAATGGTATTTAAGAAAAGTAAATAACATAAGCACTGCTTTATAGTTAGTTCAGCTTCAGTTAGTATGCAAAGTTTCATGATCTTATTTAAAGTATTTTATGAATAACAACGGTTTATTGTTTATTTTGGAGGTAACTTTGGATTTTTTTTTATCGAGAAAATTTTACGAAATCGTGTTTTCGTCTAACATAATCAATAACATTTATCCTCAACTTTACCATATTTTTTTTTCAAAATTAATACTGCAATATTTTCGGCATAACGAAGGATTTTGATTTGACATTATATTTCCCCTTAAATGGCGAGAAAACTTTATCAACGTGGTTAAAATTTATGTGTTCGTGAAATAGTGCTGATAACCCAGAATTGGAACTTCTGACAATATTAGGTATAATAAGTAAAAAAATATTTTTATTCGAAATTGCCTTTTACAAAGCACTTTTTGAAAGTATAAAGCTACACGAGTAAAGAAATTTCTTTACTAGTGGCTCTACTGCGAGGAAACCTTGTGAGAAGAAGTGGCGAAGAATTCACTAGCAGACTGTTTTTCTTCCAAGAGTTACCGTACCGTAGTTAAGAGAATACCTCGAAAATGAATCGAAGTTTTGGGGGCGTGGCTTATTCCTTTGTCGGTGAAGCTAACGGACGACTGCGGGGATGTCAAAATGAAAGTGATGCAATGACTTCATAGTACGCAAATTATGAGATAGCCATACCGAGCAAGCGCTCGGAAAAAAACTAAGTAAGCGCCAAACAACATTTTTATTTATTTTAACAAAACTTCGTTATGGATTAAAAAATTGGTTTATGAAAACTTAGATATTATTTATTTACTACTCTTTTATTTTATTCAGATTATTTACTATGCTTTAACAATAATTTCATGAAATTATTCTTAAAAATATTGTGGTGTCATCAAGAACTATAATTGGATAAATATAATTGGAGCCTACTTTACAATTTTTTTCTATCGAGAAAATTACATGATATCGTGTTTTCCTTTTATCCAAACCAAGGTCATATAGTCAAAAATCTTATACCAAAATTTTGGTTTGTAATCTATAAAACTTAAAAAAATATGTTGAAAAGAAAAACCGCCAAATTTTCGAGGTATCACCTTAACAGTTTATGAAATATATACATAAGTAAATTTCACGCATCCTTATCTTATAAACAGTGACTTAATTAATAATATACTTTCTACATAATAATGATTTTTTAACATGGCCTTTGAATTTATGCAAAGGCAAAATTAGTAATATTACAGGGACTCTTGTGTATGAATAGTTATACATCTACCCAAAAGTGAGCCGTTGGATTTAAAGAGTCTGTTTTTTGGAATACCAAGGTTAGATTTATTGCCCATGTAAAAATTATGGGCATCTCATTTTGTTAAAGATATTAAAATAGTTCCCTACATAAATAATATTGTCCAAAATGAATCGTGATTTTTTTCAAAGGTGTCTGAGTGTGTCCTTCAGTTTAATGTTGTAAATATCACGTACAGTTCTTTTCTGTAAGAAATAAGATAAAGTCAATACAATATTTTTGAAATACTCGTACGCATTAAACAAAATTATCAAAGAAAAGTGTAATTTTAAAATAGATATGGGGACGGATTTATGTAATTGCATTTATCAATTAACGAACAAAATCAACCTGAGATTTCTTCCCGCGAATTGTCATATTTTCTTTATTTTAATGAAGAGACACTTTAAGGAAAAATTCAGGAATAAGAACGAAAACCTAGCCATATCTTTATTATCACCGATATCATTAAATATTTTTTCAGCATGCCGTCTTTGCTTTAATAAAGTGATGAAGAACATTATATTAGCAGTGAACATAAGCATTCGGCATTGTTACTTTCACCTAAAATTCAGATCTTAAAACTTTATGCTAAATGCTTATGATTTATTAGTACCGCAGACCTTTTTTGCTGGTATCGAGGCATTTCATCTTAATCCTAAGGAATGATAGACACATCTATAATCGCTTATGAATCAAAATATAAAAGATGTTATCCTGAAGGTGGTGTGTGTTTGTTACTCTAACTCCTATAAAAATCAAGATAATTTCGGTCCGCCAGCCATATATAAAAGGATTCGGACTTTCTATTGAATATTTTGTAAACTCCATCGACCATTGTTTACTCTACCGGCGTATTAATTAGGTTCGAAGTTCGTTGTCGATGCAAGTATCGTGTTCATAAACGAGTTGCAGATTTATTTTATTTATTCTGTTTAATAGAAGTCAATCACATTCACTTCCTTTGGAATCAACGTAATTAAATGTGAACTTAATAAAACATTTATTAAAAATCGTGATAGCTAAGGGGGGTTTCCGCTAACCTATAAACACTAAAAATTTTAATTGCAATTTTAAGGCGACGCTCCAGTCCTTTTAACTATTCCGAAGTTCGTTAAGTTTACTGTAAATAAATAAATAATAAGTAGGTAATACTTATACGAAAAATAAAGCAGTCGTCTACTCCGTGTCTCCGTTTTTTATTTCACTACCAAAACATATCAAAACAATAGCTATATACATGTTAATTACAGTTACCTATTGGCATTTAAACAGAACAATATCATTTAACTGATGTTGCTGATTATCTGGAAAGTAATAACTGTGCAAAACAAAATTATTTTATAAAAATTGTCCACACGGACAATGGTTGTGTAGACACCAACGTGAACCATAATAAATGGCTCGAAATCATAAAGATAACACCAAATCACTATTTAAACCTGTACCTTGCGAATTCTTTATAACCATGTGCGAATGAAAAAGCTTTTTTTCACAAACTAGTAGAATTTAATATTGATATAGTCTATAACATTTTTTATCTTACTTAGATGTCCGGTAAATCTATTCCTATTTCCAGTAGTTTACTGCAGACTTTTAAGTATAAATGATTTTTTATAGTATAAGGGTGACAAATGATCACACAATCCACATGATGGTAAGTAGATGTTGTGGCCCATAGACATCTACATTTATCTTCGATTAAGAATCAAAACGCAGATGCGTTTTCACCCTTGAGGATTAAGATGCAATGCCTCGTTTCCAGTAAAAAAGGGTCTCCGGATCTCTACACTCACCATACGAAACACAGCAGTATTAAACTGTTATTTTAGGCTAGTATTCTGTGAGAGCGTGATCCTTCCCCGGTCGAGCCGACCTATTACTATTTTTAATATTACGTTTATTTATAGCTCGATGACAGCGGTACTTATTGGCTAAGCTTTACCACCCAACTTATAAACTACTTATTAATTTGCAGGGTGATTACATATGGATCGAGCCGGTGTCGGGGCGGGAGTTCGACGTGGCAATCGGCGCGCGGGTGCTCGCGGCCGAGGGGCGACGCATCCGCGTGCGAGACGACGACGGCCAGGAGCAATGGCTGCCGCCCGAGCGACGCATCAAGGCCATGCATGCCACCTCCGTGCACGGGGTCGAGGACATGATCTCGCTTGGTGACCTGCACGAGGCTGGGATCCTAAGAAATCTTCTCATACGATATAATGAAAATCTTATTTACGTGAGTTCTCGTTATTTTTTATTTATATGTATGTAAACTGCATCGTTGATCTGGTGGTCGTAAACTCGATTGCCTAATCATGAGGGGTTCGAATTCCAGGTCGGGCCAAAATCAGTTGTTGGGTTTTCTGCCAAAAGAAATTTTCAGTAGTAGGCTGAAGTTAGGAAGTTGGCGGTTTTCATCCCCGTTCCTCGAAAACCGCGTCATCAGATCTCTCTCCGATCGAGTCCGAATACCGTCCCATCGGACTATGAAAGCGAGAGAATAGAGTGCACCTGTGCTTGCGAATACACACGGGCACTATAATCCTGACCTGTGCAGATGGCTAATCTCCGTTGAGCTTGCCCATCGTGATCGAAATTTGGTCTGGAGGATATTATGATTGTAAAACCTTAGAGACTAAGCATTATTATCACTTTGTTAAGTCTGGAAAACATTATGAATGTAAAGCCTTAGAGACCTGTGCATTATTATTACTTTGTTAAGTCTAGAAGATATTATGAATATAAAGCCTTAGAGAAGGTGCATTATTAACACTTTGTTAAGTCCGGGAGGACATTACGAATGTAAAGACCTAGAGACTACATTATTATTACTTTGTTAAGTCTAGAAGGACATTACGAATATAAAGCCTTAGAGACTGTACATTATGATCACTTTGATAAGTGGTGGACTTTTGAAAAGTACTCGGCCTAACACAGATCCATTCAATTCTAAAAATCAAATCTACCCACATTATTTAGTTCAGTTCAGACTAGTTCATTGTGTGAAGTTCGAAACGTGATTTTATAAATTTATTAACAAAGTAATCGGACATAATTTCCGCGAATGGAGCAAATCGAGCAGCGTGCCGTCATTAAGTACCTCCATAAGAAGGGGCTATCATCAAAAGCCATCCATGATGACATGGTCAGTACATTAGGTGATTGTGCTCTGTCATATTCATCCGTCAAAAAATGGATAGTAAAATTTAAGCGTGGTAGAGAGAGTGTGAAAGATGAACCCCGCTCTGGAAGGCCTTCGACGTCAACTACTGACGAAAATATTAAAAAAGTACTTGATTTAATAATGGGAGACCGCAGATTAAAAATTAGAGAGATAGCCGAGATTATAGGCATCTCTCATGAACGAACTCAAAACATCATTGTCAACGAGTTGGGTTTCCACAAGGTGTCTGCGAGGTGGGTTCCGTGACTGCTTTCAGTTGAACAAAAAATGACGCGATTGACTATTTCACGCGACTGTTTGGAGTTATTTGAAGCCGATGCAGATGATTTTTTGAATCGTTTTGTTACTATGGACGAAACATGGGTTCATTAATGTACACCGGAACCAAAACAACAATCAAAACAGTGGAGAAGACCTGGTTCACCACCCCCTAAAAAGGCTAAGTCGATTTTGTCGGCAAATAAGGTGATGGCTTCAGTATTCTGGGACTCGAAAGGTGTGATTATGATTGATTGATCTTGAAAGGGGTCAGACTATAAACTCTGATTACTACTGCACCTTACTACGTCGTTTACGAGAGGAAATAAAAGAAAAACGTCGAGGAATGCTCAGAAGAAATGTCCTGTTTCATCAAGATAACGCCCGTGTTCACACGTCAGTACAGTCAATGGCTGAAATTCACAACTGTGGCTTTGAACTGTTACCACATCCGCCGTATTCACCTGATCTGGCACCATCAGACTTCTTTCTGTTCCCTAACCTAAAAAAGCACTTGGGAGGTCAAAGATTTTCGACTAACGACGAGGTCAAAGCAGCTGTAGACGCATATTTTGACTCTAAGGAAGAATCATTTTTTTTCAACGGTCTAAATGCTTGGAAGGGGAGGTGGCAAAAGTGTATTGAACTTGATGGTGATTATGTAGAAAAATAAAAATATTACTGATTTAGTATGTGTTTATTTTCTTGGTTAGGCCGAGTACTTTTCAATCCACCCTCGTATTTACGAGATGTCTAAACCGCCATTTATTGGAGAATAAAAGATTTTTCGGTCATTTCCCATTGCTGACTCTTACGACACCCAAGAGAAGAAATGGAGTGATGATAGAACTTTTCTTACGCTACCACATGTCGGTTTAATAAATATAATTTTGGTAGTAAAAATCTGAGCTCAAACTGGCAATAAAATAAATAAAACTATGCATGTTGTCTACTTTCATGTTATATTTTTTGAAGTTATTTATTATTTATTTTCGTTAAGTAGAGCTTGATAACCGTGTAAAAATATCCGCTAGCTCATATCATCACGTGGGTATACTAAGAGGCGAAAGTGGGAAATTGAACCGTAGGCAGCAACATCTTCCTGAAATCAGCTGTTTTAAAATCCAAATCTACGATTGCTAATCCGCTCGCCAAGCGTATTGAGGCTATCTATGGGGGAGGTCTATGTTCGGCAGTGGACTATTGTTAGGCTGCTATGAAATGGATGCTCAATCCTTTTTTTGATAGAATAGTTACGTTCCTCGCATGAGCTATTAAAAAAAAGTTGAATAATTGAGAATGTCATACGACCAACTAATTTTAATTTTATATTACAGACATATACGGGTTCTATATTGGTGGCGGTGAATCCTTACCAAATACTACCAATATACACAGCAGACCAAATAAAACTATACAAAGAGAGAAAAATAGGAGAACTGCCCCCGCACATCTTCGCTATCGGCGACAATGCATATGCACACATGCGCCGCTACAGCCAGGACCAGTGCATCGTCATCAGTGGAGAATCTGGAGCAGGGAAGACCGAATCCACAAAGCTTATTTTACAATACTTAGCCGCCATTAGCGGCAAGCATTCCTGGATAGAACAACAGGTTGGTTTCCATTACATAATTTTTTTATAGTAGTTATTCTTGTACCTTGATCGTATTCCAATTTACTTATTTAATTTCTTTCTTAAAACTTACCTATTTTAAAGTCAATGCTAATATTAAAAAGAATACGAACATAAAAAAATATTGTTCTAGTTTCATTTTAGCTCGTCGCATGATAGCGAACTTAGAGTCGCCATCATACTTGAAAAATTTGGCTATACGATAAAAAAACTCGTAAATAATTTATAGTTCACGACATTGACATTATTTAATATTTGGGGCTTGAAATATAAAGATGTCTTTTTATATTGAAAAACTCAAACACCTTTTTTGAAAAAAATATATCTATATAACAAAGTACTGATTACCTCTATACATTACTCTCATCTCGAGGGAAGATTGTTAATGCCTTTGCGATAGAACTATGGGGATCAGGACTCTACAAAGTCTATGAAGGCGTTTTGTATCGCTTCTTAACAACAGTTTTGGGCGGTAGTTGTAATGGGTTGAGACTTGGTCTGACGAGTGTGGAGGATGGCGTATGATTTCTAACTGCAGGTCTTGTGAAATATAAACTTTAATATGTAAACGGTTCGTTGAACAGTGAGATGTTGTGTTATTAAGGAGCAATAATAGTCGAGAACGATTCACGAGTCGTAGGTGTTTCTCTCAGAGTATCATCATAATTGTTCGAAGTATTTACAATAAACATCTGCTGATATTGAACGAAAACCATAGTTAATTGTACCTTAAGAAGACCGTCAAACAGTTACCATTTCTTTCCTATAGTGTCTTCTCCAAACACAGCATTGATATAATACATACCTATGGTTAACATAACACATATAAGTTTTGACTTTAGGGTATTGTTAATTAACTAATTTATATTTCAACAGGCTTTTGTTTATCGCTTTTATTTTCAATTCAAAAAGTGAAAAGTTTTAATTAACCTAATTTAATTGGCCAACTAAGTGTCTACTTATCAACCGAAAAAACCTTACTTAACCATCCGCACCTCACGGGTCACACTAGTACAACATTCATAGTATCACGCCATTTTCCCCAGGTGTTGAGCGGGGCTTTGGATTATATTCTCAAGTAACAATGATAAAACTTAGCGTAGTTAGGTATAGATATTGAGTTTATTGAGTAATGTTCCCGAAGCGCCGCTAGACCCCCGCGCATGAGGCAGTTCAGTGTGCCAGTATTTCTCCATAGTATTTGATACTCACAACCCTCGATACTCGATACATTCTTGATGGCCGACGACAGTGTGCCAAAATCTTAATAGCATGCGCCTACAGCGTTAGTCCTAGAGAAGAGGAGCACGTGGTTAAGCATAACATTATCGTACATTTTTATTTAAAAATAAGCTATTGTTGTAAGTTTTCCTTACTTACTTACTTACTTATCTTCACGCACAATCCCTAACGGGGTAGCCAGAGAGAATAGATCGCCAAGTGTCACGATCCTTACATACCTCTTTCGCTTCTTTCAGGTTCATTAACTTCTTCATACATGCACGTCTAGGTATCCGAGTACTCTTGACCCTCCCCTCTTCGAGCAATGTTCTCACATGGTCTTCGAAAGTTAGTCTCGGTCTACCTCGACACCTTTTAATATTTATTTTCGCTCTATATATTTTCTTCACCATTTGGTCTTCACTCATTCGTTCAACGTGCCCAAACCTTTGGAGTACGCCCCTATCAATTTTTGTGATAAGGTCATCTTTCAATCCTGCCATATTGCGAATCTCTTCGTTTCGCTTTCAGTCGGCTATGGTAACGCCACACATTTTACGAAGAGATCGCATCTCCACTGCATTCAACTTGCTTTTATGCTTCTTCTGGCATACCCAGGTTTCGCTGCCATATAACAAAGTCGGTACCAACACTGCGTTATGTATTGCAAGGCGTGCACTCTTCACCACGCCTTGCCTTTTTACTAATGCATTCAGGGCACCATTGACTTTGTTTCCGGCAGCGACACGCCTATCCACATCTAAATCACATCTTCCATCCCGGCTGAAAGCACTCCCCAAGTATACAATTTCATTTACCTGTTCTAGACATTCCTGATTTACCCATATTTCACATTTCGTTCTCTCTTCGTCCTTTTCAAATACCAAATGTAAGTTTTCCGAATAAAATAAAATAAATACGCGAAACTTATATTTGGAAAGTAGGTACTTTAAGTTTTGAGATCTCCATGTTTAACTCAAATATTGAATATAAAAACAATTGAAAGTCAATAGAATGTCATTACATTTTTTTATTTAACGTGCTATAAGTTTTTGTGTAAAAAAGTTTAATCACGATTCTTTGACCATGCGGGTTTAATTTTAATTCAAAGTTGCCACACTATTAAAGCGATTACTTTATATTTTAACCCCGATTTTATACATTATAGAACATACGTAAAAGAAAAAGAAAAAAGATTATCCAATAACAAGTTTTCACATTTTAAAATTGATATTGAATAAAATTTTGCTGTTATTGTTCCCCTTTAGGATAAAAAAAAACATAAATACCGCCTGTTCACTACCAACTGTAGGATTATGATAGAACCACCGTTTTGTTACACCTACTACACATTGCTTTATTAGGCCAAGTTCACTAATGATTTGAATATATATTCGTCTTAATGAAAAACAAGTAAAACTACGCCTCTAAAACCTGTTCGAAAAGAAAATCAACATGGAAATTGAGGGCGCCGAAGTATATAAGTATCGTTTTGGATATCTCAACATTAAACATATCCGGCATACATTTTTCGTTACATATACATAATATTATATACTTATAATATTGTAATGCGTGATGAATTACGATATTAAAATGTCACGTAACACCCATTTGTTTGTGTACGTCAGCGATTACAATTGTATTTCAGTGCAAATTGCACACAATTTTATTTTGTAATTACTACTACTACTAATTATTTGATAATAATATTATTGTAATGACTAATATGTGATAAAAATTTTACAGATTCTAGAAGCAAATCCAATTTTGGAAGCATTTGGAAATGCAAAAACGGTCAGAAACGACAATTCATCAAGGTTTGGAAAGTATATTGATATACATTTTAACAGTGGTGGAGTTATTGAAGGTGCTAAAATTGAACAATATTTATTAGAAAAATCTAGAATTGTATCCCAAAGTATGGAAGAAAGAAATTATCACGTATTCTATTGCTTGTTGGCTGGACTTTCCAAAGAAGAGAAGAGGAGGCTGGATTTAGGAGAACCGACGGAATACAGATATTTATCTGGTGTAAGTATAAATAAGAAAAATCCATTTTAAAGTTTGATGATGACGTACTTTAAGAAACGTAAGATGACTTCATAAATTAACAGTTTTTATAACAATAGAATAGAAAAAAAAAACAAATTGTCATTTAACATATTAAAGGCATTTTTGCATATTTTGATCAAAACTTTTTTTCAGGGTGGCTGTTTTACTTGCGAAGGAAGGGATGATGCTGCCGAATTTGCAGACATTCGATCCGCTATGAAAGTTTTATTATTTACCGAACCAGAAATATGGGAAATTTTAAAATTATTAGCTGCAGTTCTGCACTGTGGTAACATTAAATATGAGGCAACAATTGTCGATAATTTAGATGCAACAGAAATAATAGAACAGGCGAACGTACGAAGAGTCGCAAACTTATTGGGAGTACCTACACAGTCTCTTATAGATGCACTAACAAGGAAAACACTTTTTGCACATGGCGAAACTGTTGTATCAACCCTAAGCAGAGATCAATCTGTAGATATTAGAGATGCCTTTGTCAAAGGTATATATGGACGGCTTTTTGTCACCATAGTAAAGAAAATAAACGCCGCCATTTACAAACCCAAATCTACGATGCGAACAGCGATTGGAGTTTTGGATATCTTTGGATTTGAAAACTTCGATCACAACAGCTTTGAACAATTTTGTATCAACTTCGCTAACGAAAACCTACAACAATTTTTCGTTAGGCATATTTTTAAATTGGAACAGGAAGAATATAATCACGAAGGAATCAATTGGCAGCACATAGAGTTTGTCGATAATCAAGACGCTCTAGACCTGATTGCATTAAAACAGTTGAACATCATGGCTTTGATCGATGAAGAATCTAAGTTTCCTAAGGGTACTGATCAAACTATGTTAGCGAAATTACATAAGACGCACGGTCTTCATAGAAATTATCTTAAACCTAAGTCAGATATAAATACTAGTTTTGGATTAAACCATTTTGCTGGAATAGTATTTTACGATACTCGCGGCTTCCTTGAGAAAAATCGAGATACATTTAGTGCTGATCTGCTCCAGTTAATTCACATATCAACAAATAAATTCTTACAGCACATTTTTCAAGAAGATATAATAATGGGTTCGGAAACACGTAAACGGGCTCCAACGCTATCGACCCAATTTAAAAAGTCATTAGACTTGTTAATGAGAACGTTAGGTACTTGTCAACCATTCTTCATTAGATGCATTAAGCCGAACGAATTTAAGAAACCTATGATGTTTGACCGTGGCCTTTGCTGTAGGCAGCTTCGATACTCTGGAATGATGGAAACCATCCGAATCAGGAGAGCAGGTTATCCGATCAGGCATAGTTTTAAAGAATTCGTAGAGCGGTACAGATTTTTAATTTCTGGAGTTCCTCCAGCTCACAAGACTGATTGCCGTGCGGCGACTGCAAAAATTTGTGCCACTGTTCTTGGTAAATCTGATTACCAACTAGGCCATACCAAAGTATTTTTGAAGGATGCACATGACTTGTTCTTAGAGCAGGAAAGAGATAGAGTACTCACTAGGAAAATATTAATACTACAGAGATCGATTCGGGGCTGGGTGTACCGCAGACGATTCTTAAAGATGAGAGCGGCAGCTATATTAATTCAACGTCATTGGCGAGGGAAGCTGCAGAGAATCCGGTACAATAAGATGAAAGTGGGATATGCCAGGCTCCAGGCATTGATCCGTGCGAGAGTTTTAGCTCATCGTTTCAGACATTTGCGGGGTCATATCGTGGCATTGCAAGTAAGTGTAGATCAGATTTATCAAATTTTTTTTAACTTTGTTCTTAATATTCCCATTAAATATCAAAAATTCATTAGTTGAATGTATCCGAATCGAACCCGTTCAGCTATAACAACATCTTCCGTACTCAAGCCAGTACTAAAATACACCAACTAATTACAAATCCTTCACTAGTTCCTTATCTATCCATCGGTTCATCCATTCATTAATTACAGCCCATAAAATTCTACTGCTGAACATAGGACTCCCCCATAGATTATCTGTAAAGGGGCATTTTGCTCTTATTGTTATATATTTATCAGAAAGATACGCCTCTTACGATATCAACGGACAATCCTAATAGCTCTGTGAAGAAAGGTAGGCAAGATTTTTCGGCTCGTAAAATTGCTAGTCTTGCCAGTGACCACGCTATATGATTATTTTATCTAATGCCGGTATGAGTAGGTATTAATTGCAGCACAATTGGTGCGCCTAAAAATTCGTGGCGCAAAAAAGTTGAAGAGCGTTTTCGTTACTCTGATGAAATTTGTCACAATGTAGAAGGGAGACCGGGGATGGTTGACCACTTTTCAGTAAAACGCTTGCATTTTCGTTGTTTTAGTGTATATTATCGTAAAAACCAATACAGATAGGTAAACTATTCATCTTTTTAAAAAAACTTACAAGAAGCTTGCCATCAATTACAATGTGCACAAGCTTCATTTTGTAGAACACGAAATACTAGTCAACCTAACCCATGCCCGGGGTTAGTTGACTATTCACGAGGGGTAAGTAGATCTATTAGATAATTAGTACATATTATAGGAATAAATAGGATAAAATAATTAAAATATGTTTGTAATTATCATTTTTTTTAAATTGAAACGAAATTTTCAATCCTGACAATTTAAATAAACTTAAAAATGTAATATATATACATAATAAACTTTAAATTAGGATAAACAATCATACATTTTAACATTTGTCAACTAAATACTTGAAACTCTACTTGCACTTAGTACACTGAATCCATTTCAAATTATAAAATTTAGTGCGCTCTAAACAAAATGTATCACCCTCATCACCTTTGTCTTCTTCTGCAGCTTTTTTTCCTTTTCGTTTTCCATTACTCCTTTAAATGTTCCTTCTATTATCTTTGATTTCTTTGTTTTATTATTTAGCGTCTTACAGGATTATTGTTTATTTTGAGTTCTTTAATATTTTCTTTATCATGTGTATTTGTATAAATAGCGCAAATTTTCGTGTTTCATAGAGTGTGAATACGTAATAAATATCAGTTATCTTCTTATAGTATTTTTCTGATGCAAATAATTTCTCTTCAATAAATATTTTTCTATTTACGCTGTACACTAGGTACAGCGCTCTCCAAAGTCAAATTCAAATTTAAAATATTATTTATATCTCGTCATTTCCGGATTACTTTCTAACATATTTTTCATTTTTACCACGTTGCGTTGGAGTGTTATCTGTATATCAAATTCTTTTGCTGTAGAATTAATGCTCTATCGGCGGCATTTTTGGGTGTACTTCTTCGATAAGTATTTATTTTGTAGGTTCGCATGGTTCTGTAACAATTTGCATTTAATTAACTGAAAAAAATTGACATTATTCTATGTTAAGTATACCCAGACTACCATGGGGTAGATTGACTAGGGGGTCAATTAGCCCCGAAATAAGTTGGTCTGCAAGCCCCGGCCCGATTTTCAATTTTTAACTACATGGTATAATAGCCTCAAAACTGGGGCTAATTAAAAAAGAATTATACCTAAGAAAAAGATTTAAAAATCTAACTTTTATTTTAAATGACTTGAAATAACAACAAGTATTTAAGCTTTACTGACAAAAATATCATGAGGAAAATAATTACTCACATGATTTGTTGTTCGATAATATGCTCCTTCTCCCGAACGACGTGCCTTCGCGATACCACGATCACGGTACTTGAGCGGGAGAATAAAACGGTTTCTTGCACCTAGTTGGATGAGGCAAAACTTTCGAGTAGATCGAGTTATTGATAGTAAGTCAACCTACCCCTATAGTCAACCATCCCCGGTCTCCCCTCCTCGCAACTTAAGACAGCCCCTGCAATGGCAATACCTACCGCGTGTGTAATCGATATATTTGTAGGTAGATGTTTGTTTGTTAATATGGTTATTGTTCTGCACATCAAAAACCCTACTGTAATACCCTCCTTATATTTCAATCCATTGGGATAAATTTTGTAGATTTATTTGGGACTGACAGCGCGTCCAATCCAAGTCACCAGGTAACAAAATTAGGCTTATGTAGTATAATCTTTAGGTTGGGAGCGTCTTTTAAATAACTAAAAACGCTTGAACCAGAAACTCTCTATAAACTAAAACCAATCTACTCCAATCACCATCTAATCCAATTTCCAAATAATACTTATTCTATTTATTCTTACTGATCTACATCTTAGCCAAAATTACTCTATAAATATTCTCTTCTAAGACAAAAGTAATTCACATTCGATTACGTATTACCGTTGTTTTAACAAAACCACAAAAGTTTTGAATATCATTTAAATATTCATTTTTAGGTGTTAAAAAATAATTCTACTAGTGAAATTGTTAAGTTAGAAAAAGACGTAAAAGGGCAATAAGTCCATAAGGGATGCAACTGAAACTTCATTTGTAATAAATATCCTATCGTATTCTAACTTTGAACAATTCCAGGCAGCAGCTCGCGGCTATCTAGTCCGTCGCTCGTACGGCCACAAGATGTGGGCAATAGTTAAGATCCAAAGTCACGTGAGACGTCTGATCGCCATGCGACGATACAAACGTTTAAAACAAGAGACCATTGCACACAATGAAGCTTTACGTCTTAGGAAGCAGGAGGAGCAGAGATTACAGCACCAGGGTAACACACGTGCTAAGGAGATCGCCGAGCAAAACTACAGGGTAAGTGAAACAATGTAAAAATTACATTTATATTTTAAGTAAAGACCAAAATTAATTAGTTTTTATAATGGTTTTATTATGAAAACGTTATAATGTCAACTGCCTTATCTTTGCTAGCAGATATATTTGTAATATTGCGTAACTATTACATAAAAAAATTGCATAAAAACACATAGACGTAATCAATTGTTAGAGACATAAATGTCGTACCTGTACTGAAACACTCATTCGTCTTACTGACCCGTGCAATAAATATCTGAAATAAGTTCAAACGTTATTTCACAAATCCATAACACCCTTATAGAGCCGTGGCTTAAGGGGCTAAGCGCTCGATCGATCGGGTTCGATCCCCGATGGCACTAATGAAACTGTTAATTGCAATTTTAAGTGCTGATTTACCACGTGCTCAGCGGTGAAGGAAAACTTCACGAGGAAACCTGCACGTCTAAAAAATAAGAAAAAAATGTTTCCAAAATATTTGGACAACGCGGCGGACATTTCCTTGCCCTAAAACCCTCTCAGAAATGAAAGAAGACATGTGCCCAGCGGTGTTTATTTTTGAAAAAGTTACTATGTTAAGTTTAAAGCGCGATAAGATTACAAATCTGTACGGCATTTGTAAATTTATAAAATTTTCATTTTAAAGAAATTCGATATTTCGTTTAACTTGTAGAACATAACATAACATAGCGTAACAGATAATTGTCGAACATTATAAAATAAATGTTAACATAATAACAGAAAGACCTATCTGTATAATTATCGAAATTGTAATACTCGCAACAATTACGTTAGACGATGTTTCATATATTATGTATTATAATAACATATTAGGAATTGTTTTTATTGACGACTATACAATACAACATGACGTAGTTTCTTCATTTAGCATGTTATATGTGAATAACCATTTACTTTTGGTGTTTACAAATGATAAGACTTGTTAAGTAAAGTTTAAAAATATTATGAAATGTTGATTGAGGCGCCATTTCTAATCCCATCCTCTATACGTACGGGCTGTGTGTATTGATATTAAAACCAGCCAGATACAAATAGTAACAAAATACGAAGAAACTTTTTCCTCGAACTATTATTATGGTTGCAGTACGAATGGATCATTTTGTAAACGCTTATAAAAGTGTCGGTGTAAAATAGCAGCTATATGCTGATGTGTGCTATAACGAGTGACGAAATCCGGAGACCCATTTTACTTGAAACGATCGCTGACGGGAAAGTCGACAACGCATAAACTTTTCTTTTCCTTTTATTTTTTAAGGTTTTACCTCCACACTAGGATTTTCTTTTACATTTTAAGTAACGTTTAGGAAAATAAAAATATTTTATTCGTAAAATGAATACGCATCATGTTGAGGATTGTTTTTTCGTTTTACTTTACTTACTTTACGAACTAAACCTTAACCAGGTAATTCTATATGACGTGATAAAAAACGTTAAATAAAGAAGCTTAACAAATTTCATTCTTAAAATATTATTAATAAGATACCATGCAATTTCAGTATCTTACTGTTGCATGGTATCAAGCCTTGATCAAGCATTGATTTAATATTTCATTAAGTTATCGACATTGATTTATAAGATACTAGTTAAAAACTCAGATTATCACACCGATTGACTTTGTCGCAATCGGAATTGATTAATAAAGAGATAAAGTAAATGATTTAGTTATTTTCAACTGTTGTTCGGTACAGTACACTCGCGTTTACAATATGGAGAAAAATATGAATGGTTTTCGCATTAGAGATAGCAAAGGTATTTACAAATAGTATTTTTTAAATATGTTTTAACCCATTTAAACAGGCCAGTTTACTTTTAAAATTTAAATAAAAACTATTCATTTTTATGACGTCAAAAGCAGATGGCTTTTAAAATTCCGCCTTTAAAGTCTTTATTTTAAAATCATTTTTTTTACAAAACATTCATATTTTTAAAAACACACTCACTCACGCCTGTCACCCAGAGGGGTAGGCAGAGACTACAGACTTCCATTATCACGATCCTGACATACCTCTCTCGCCTCTTCCACATCCGTATACCTACGCATATATGCTCGTCGGTTAAGGGTACTCTTAATTTGGCCCATTTTTAGTATATCGTCAAATTGGTCGACAAAATTCCGCCTAGGACGTCCCTTTCCGACTCTTCCATTCACTTCTGCAACATATATTTGCTTTGTCAGTCTTTCCGCATTCATTCTTTCTACATGACCAAACCACCGAAGCATTCCTTTTTTAATCCTGGTCACTGCATCATCTTGCAAACCACACTCTTCTTTTATCACACAGTTTCTCACCCTGTCACTCAGATTTAGCCATATTTTTAATTTGTACTAAAACTTGTAAGCGCCTTTGCGGTAGAGAGATACGTAGTTTAATTTAGTTTTTATTATGTCATAGCGGTTTCGCACGAATCTACAAAGTAATATATCAAATATGCAATAAAAGAATCCAATTTCGCGTTATGAACTTAATAGTTGTTCAACCGCTTCTCTAAACCTTCATTACATGCTACGTAATTAGTTGAAGAGTTATACATCGCAGATCTATATATACGAATAATGCATTACAGCATGCATGTTATGCAACGAGACTCAAACTTACAAGTTTCGCTTCAGTACCTCCGATCTAGTCGAACAGTGGCGTAAACTAAGAACTTAGATACAATGCCAGCTATATCGAAGTTCGGTCGTGTCGTAAAAACTGTCAAAGCTAATATGAGTGTGTGGATGAAGTGCATTTGCGACGAAGGCCTGGAATTTCGTTATTGTGTTAGTTGATGTTGCTACTAAATATAGGTTCCGATTATATAATATAAAGTAGAATTTCAGTCACACTCGTGCAATATTATTTTTAGTATAATGTTAAATAAATTGCAGCATTGATTCTTATGTCAGATGTCAGTCAAAGGTTTATAAAATAGTCTTTAAAAATACGCGTTAAGTTGTTTATTTTAACAATATCTGTTTCTGATAGAGACATTTCTAGTCAAACATGTACAAGGCTCATCTATATCATATTCCGCGCCATAATTTTTACAACTCTCATTTACACCTTGCAAATAATTTGAAAAAAGTACCAGAAATCTAACGATTTTTAAACCTAGAGGACTTTACAAGTTCCTATTATAATCCGTTTAGTCTGAAAAGCACCTTCAATAAAGAGAATAGAAATTACGTTAACAAGTTATTAATGATTGGATGCAAAATTTATTACATAAAGATCTAAAATATCAATCGATAAAAGAGCATAATTACATTTTGATAACATTTAATATTATTATGTTTATATTTTATAATTTTAATAAAATGTTACTTTGCCAAATTTCAAGAATTCTTTACAATTTCTTCAAAAGTTCTTCAAAGTTGAACTTATATATATTTTTCCTATTTTCAGGAGCGTATGTATGAATTGGAAAGACGAGAAGCTGAATTAGCTCTAGAAGAGAAACGTCAACTGGAAGCTAAAAGGACATTGCTTCAAGAAGCAGCTCGTAAGCAAGACGAACCGGTGGATGATAGCAAGCTTGTGGAAGCCATGTTTGATTTCCTTCCCGATTCCAGCAGTGAGGCCCCCGCTCCTAAAGATACATCCATGTTTAGTGATTTACCACAAGCGAGGGCTGATCAACAAGAGGTAGCTTTTGTTTATAGCATAAGACAAGTATTCCGGTATTTTATTGTCATATAATTAAAACTAACTTATTCAATGCAAGATTAGGATTCGAAATATAGTCAATTATTTGTCATAAATACGCATAACGAAGTATAGTTATATTATAAATCTTTTCAAGTAAGTTTTTTCGTATATGTAGGTACATATCAAATAATAGGCATTTATTTCAATTAACAGATGGTGACTCCAATGCAAACAACGTCCGAAGATGAAGAGGACCTTTCAGAATTTAAGTTCCAAAAGTTCGCAGCCACATACTTTCAAGGAAATGTTACTCACCAGTATTCGAGAAAACCGCTTAAACATCCATTACTGCCATTACATACTCAAGGCGATCAGTTGGTAAGTGGTATTAAAACGTCTAATTAAGGTCCAATCGATTTCGAATGAGGATTAAAATTGCATCTATTACACACTTATCTACCTAAATACTAAAATTATAACAAATCTGTTTATCATTTTAATTATAAGCGATTCCGTGCCAGATAATATTTTATTATTTCAGGCCGCTCAAGCACTATGGGTGACTATATTACGATTTACGGGAGATCTTGCCGAGCCTCGTTACCACACTATGGACCGAGATAATACATCAGTCATGTCAAAAGTTACAGCTACATTAGGCAGAAATTTCATTCGTTCCAAAGAATTCCAGGAAGCTCAAATGATGGGCGTCGACCCAGACGCTTATTTGAACAAACAAAAGCCAAGGTCAATTAGACACAAGTTAGTCTCATTGACATTAAAGAGAAAGAATAAACTTGGTGAAGACGTCAGAAGAAAACTTCAGGTACAAATACTTTAACAAATATTTTTTTTAAAAGATTATAACAATGCTATATACATTACTACAGTGGTGAAGCTTCCATTAAAGCCGAAAAGCCGGGCTTGCCTTATTAAACCTGAATCAATCAATAATATCAACTAATAAAATAACTCGTAAAATGTTTCAAGCTATTTCAAATTTCCCGCGCACTCCACTGTTCGACACATGTCGACCGATGACCTCGTTTGCATAGCGACACTGCTGTTGTCATAAAAAATGAGTTTTAATAGAGCTAATAGTTGCGTCCCTCGCTCGCGTGGGCTTTTTACGGGGCTTTCGAGAAGACGATCGCTCTCTTTCTAACCTATGGCAAAATATTCTATAATGAAATATAATTACGATTGTATATATAGCAATTAGTATAGAGATTTAAAGCCAGGCTTTTGGGAATAAATTTGTTAAAAGCGGAGGCGCGCGGGCAATACGTTTGCAAGTTCATTTCACGTTTCAATGTTTATTTACTCTGTGTGCTTATCTTAAGCGATTTAATATTACGAGTTCAAAATTTATGCTTTTTTAAAGATTTTTAATGAAAATGGAGGATAATAGTGTTGTTCCTTGTGATGAATTGAAGTGTGTTAAAGTGATAATCGGAGAGGAAATCTTTAAACTTTGTTGAGATAATACACAAGGTTAAGAGTGTATTTCAGACTTATCAATTATCGCAATTAAAAACAGTTATTGGTACAATTAAAACGTTCACCAACATTTTACGTGGACGTAATTAAATCTTTCCATAAGAAAGCGAGACGATTCCACTTATCTTATCTTATCTCTTATCCATCAGAATGTAAATATTTTTTTTTAATTTTGTACATAGTTTGTTTGTACTTTGTTCGTGTTTTACTTTTGTTCATGTATTATTTTATTGGATGTAAATATTGTTTTTCTTTCGCTTAAACAAACCCAAACGGCTTTCTTCAAAGCCTCCGAAGCTATGCAATTGCTGATATGTAATACAATCTATCTAGCAGTGGTATGCCTTCTGTGTGCTTTGTTAAACACGTCCTTGACAGTACTGAATATGAAACTGAAGCGTGGAGACAGATCAAGATTGGTGTATTTTTATAAAACTGCTAAAAACAACAATCTATATTTTTATCAATTTATATCTTGGGCTTGCCCTAGCTTTGAGCTCTAGCTTCGCCACTGCATTACTAATATTTCCCTTAAACACTCGTGGTAAGTTTAAATTGCTTATATTACGAGTGGTTCACGCCAGTAGTCGAATGGCGGATTCGAACCCACGACCTTTTTGAGTTAGCAGTCCACGCCCTGCCATTAGGCTACTGTCGCTCTAACTTTAACAAACATTTAGTCATATTTATGTTTGTTTTAAAACGCATATTAATATATCTATTTCAATATTTTTACAGGACGAGGAATATACAGCCGACAGCTATCAATCATGGCTCGAATCGCGACCGACGTCAAACTTAGAAAAGCTTCACTTTATTATTGGGCACGGTATACTTCGTGCAGAACTGAGGGACGAAATATATTGTCAGATTTGCAAACAGTTGACCAATAACCCTTCTAAATCTTCCCATGCCCGTGGATGGATTTTACTGTCATTATGCGTTGGTTGTTTCGCACCCAGTGAAAAATTTGTTAATTACCTAAGAGCCTTCATACGAGAAGGACCTCCTGGTTACGCACCGTACTGCGAAGACAGACTGAAGCGAACCTTTAATAACGGTACAAGAAATCAACCGCCGTCTTGGCTGGAGCTTCAAGCTACGAAATCAAAGAAACCTATAATGTTACCAATAACTTTTATGGACGGGAACACTAAAACACTACTAGCAGATTCAGCGACCACTGCCAGGGAGCTTTGCAATCAACTGTCTGATAAAATTGGTTTAAGAGACCAGTTCGGATTTTCTCTGTACATTGCTTTATTTGATAAAGTCAGCTCGCTTGGAAGTGGTGGAGATCACGTAATGGATGCAATATCACAATGTGAACAATATGCCAAAGAACAGGGTGCGCAAGAGAGAAACGCGCCGTGGAGGTTATTCTTTAGGAAAGAGATCTTCGCACCATGGCATGATCCCACCGAAGACCAAGTAGCCACGAATCTAATTTATCAGCAAGTCGTAAGAGGAGTGAAGTTCGGTGAATACAGATGTGACAAAGAGGAAGACCTGGCTATGATCGCAGCACAACAGTACTATATTGAATACGGGCAGGATATGAACACGGAACGTTTGTACACTTTGCTGCCTAATTATATTCCGGATTATTGTTTGACAGGAGTTGAAAAAGCAGTCGATCGTTGGGGTGCGTTGGTAGTGCAAGCTTATAAAAAGAGCTACTACGTGAAAGAGAAAATACCAGCATACAGAGTAAAAGAGGATGTAGTGAGTTATGCGAAATTTAAGTGGCCTTTACTGTTCTCGAGATTCTACGAAGCGTACAGAAACTCAGGGCCCAATTTACCCAAAAACGACGTTATTATAGCAGTGAATTGGACAGGAGTGTATGTAGTGGATGATCAAGAGCAGGTGTTATTAGAGTTATCTTTTCCAGAAATTACAACCGTGTCAAGTCAAAAAACCAATAAAGTTTTTACGCAAACTTTTAGCTTATCAACTGTTCGCGGTGAGGAATTCACGTTTCAGAGTCCTAATGCGGAAGACATTCGAGACTTGGTAGTATACTTTCTAGAAGGATTGAAAAAGCGATCAAAATATGTAATAGCTTTACAAGATTATAAAGCGCCCGGGGAAGGTTCAAGTTTCTTAACTTTCCAGAAAGGAGATCTGATTATTTTAGAGGAAGATAGCACCGGTGAGTCAGTACTTAACAACGGCTGGTGTATAGGCCGTTGCGAAAGAACTATGGAGAGAGGCGATTTCCCAGCTGAAACAGTGTATGTGCTACCAGCATTGACTAAACCACCACCAGATATTTTGTCCTTGTTTTGTCAAGAAGGGGCACAACACGGTCGTCGAGTGCCTGCTAGTACATTTAATGGGACTGAGACAAGAGATAAGCCTCACACGCTACTAGAATATGCAATTGATCATTTTAGATTGCCACCAAAGCGTACCGTGTCGAAGGCACTCACATTATCGACAGCAAAAAGAGGTGGAGTCGAGGAGTTATGGAGACATTCTCGAGAGCCTATTAAACTACCTTTATTGAAAAAACTTCAGGCCAAAGAAGAACTAGCAGAGGAAGCCTGTTTCGCATTTACAGCTATAATGAAATATATGGGCGACTTACCTTCAAAACGTCCTCGTATCGGAAACGAGTATACTGATCATATTTTTGATGGTCCATTAAAACATGAAATATTACGAGATGAAATATACTGCCAAATAATGAAACAACTAACAGACAATAGAAATCGAATGTCAGAAGAAAGAGGATGGGAATTAATGTGGTTAGCGACGGGACTGTTTGCATGCAGTCAGGGATTGCTGAGGGAACTAACTCTGTTCCTAAGAACTAGGAGATATCCAATATCTCAAGATTCTCTTCAAAGATTGCAAAAGACGTTGAGAAATGGTCAGAGGAAGTATCCTCCGCATCAGGTTGAAGTTGAGGCGATACAGCATAAAACAACACAAATATTTCATAAAGTGTATTTCCCAGACGATACTGACGAAGCGTTCGAAGTAGACTCCTCAACCAGAGCGAAAGACTTTTGTCAGAATATAGCACAGAGACTGAATCTCAGGTCTAGTGAAGGCTTTAGTTTGTTTGTTAAGATAGCTGATAAGGTGATATCGGTGCCAGAAGGCGATTTCTTTTTCGACTTTGTACGACACCTTACTGATTGGATCAAGAAGGCGCGGCCCACACGCGATGGCATTACACCTCAGTTTACATATCAGGTATAAACTATTGTTTTATTACTATGAAGATTTTCATATTATTTTATAAAGCTCGTTTTATCCATTAAAATAAAGTAGTTAATGATTTGGCGTGTCACGGTAGACAGCAGCAATAATTACAATTAACTATGCCTATGAGAGCCGTGATAGCTCAGACGGTTAGCGGTCGCTGTTATATTTCACAGTACGCGAGCAAACCGGGTTCGATCCCCGTCGGCTCCAATGAAATTGTTAATTGCAATTTTACCACGTGCTCGGCGGTGAAGTAGAACATCGTGAGGAAACCTGCATGTCTGAGAAATAAAAAAAATTCGAAAACATGTAAAGTTGCCAACACGCATTAGGGCAGCGCGGCGATCACTTCCTTACCTTAATACCCTCTCAGAAATGAAGGGAGACCTGTGCCCAGCAGTGAGATGCATATAGGCTTTAACTTTAACTATGTTACCATTACTACCATTCATAATTATAATAAACACAGTACTAATAAAATTTTAGAAAAAAGAGAATCTTAACTTACGCGGGTAACATACGTACATGCATTTGCCACCTTATTAGATTTAACAAACTATTTGTTGACTAATTTGACTAAAAGTGTGCATTTTAAAAGTCCCCTTTTACGAAAGCCCAGAGCTTAGGATATACATTAATTACCACACAAGTATCAATATTTCCACTTACTATTTGAATAGAAAGAGTACATCGATACCTTTGATAGCTATCGTTTTACTCTTTCTATATATACTTAGATACACAGTCATCTTCATTTGTAATACACCAGAGCGTCGTTCATTTGTGGGGTGTTGTGCGTGCAATGCCTACTGGTGTGCATTAAAGTTATTTTTGATAAAATAGTATATCTTAAAGAGCGGGTTCAGGGCCATCAGCCAAATTGAAGGTTAGATTTCCCTGTTTCATGTTTTATGTTCAATATACCCATGTACACAGAGAGCTCGAGGCGGTTATTGTTACCCGTGTTCTGTGGTTAAAATTATAATAAATTGATTAAAACAACCAAGTGGATAGCTTCTGACTAGTAAATGTTATGAAATTAAGGATAAGCTGATGCGTGGAAGCAAATAAACTCTCTCGTTAATCCCGTCTCGTCCCTCTCGAACATCTTTAAAATGAACACATTGAACATTTGTTTAACAGTTACATTCGTTAAATACAAAGCAATCTACTGCAACGTAATACCCCTTATTCCTATTTTTTTTTCAATTTATTTAATCATAGATCTTGTGATACGAAGTCAAATCAATCAATGCTTTAGTTAAGTCAAAACATTCCCGTAGTCAAATAAATATCATTAATATTGGTCAACAATGTATTGATAAGATGATCAATAGCTAAGTTAGTCGATTTAAGTTTTTGGAAGCCATATTGATTTTTATTTATGATGTTAAATTTATTGCAAAATTCTAGAAGCAATACGAAAATTAATTGGTTGTATCCTTAAGAAGAAAAGTATTAAATAAATATTCTTAATTACTAGGATTGTTTTGCTTTTACCGGGGTTTCAGCCCTAGTGCACTCCCTTTAATCTGGCTCTACATACTTTTAATTATTTACAAATAAACAAATTTTAGTTTAGTGTCATAAAGCCAATTTTACATACATAAAAGCTGGATATTATTAAAACTAATTAGGCACAAGCTATTAGTTTTAGTTAATAAACTAGTTTTAAGGCTCTCTATTCTGTCAGAAATATATATTGTCCGTCAAGAGAACCGTTCGTCTTAAATTTCAAAGTACGCTTTGAAATAAATTTCAAAGGATACTTCAAATATTACCGGCACCAATAAAATTGTTCCTTATATTCTTGATGATTTACCGCGTGCTCGTGGGCAAAAGAAAACATCGAGAAGTATAACAATCATATTTTGATGATATGCGAAGTGCGACAACACTAATAAGGATAGCATGGTTGACTGAGAACTGTGTTCAACAGTCCAACGTATACAGTCTGCAATTTAACTTTAACATTACTTGGTCCGTAGGTGTTCTTTATGAAGAAGCTGTGGACGAACACGGTGCCGGGCAAGGACCGCGCGGCGGACGTGATCTTCCACTTCCACCAGGAGCTGCCGAAGCTGCTGCGCGGGTACCACCGCTGCGGCCGCGAGGAGGCGGCGCGCCTCGCTGCGCTCGCTTACCGCGCGCGCTTTGGCGACAACAAGCAGGAGCTGCAGACCATACCGTAAGCGAACACGTCCTTTGTATTCCATTTCGAAACTCGTAAAACGAAACCCCGACGTGTAGTGACGGTGTCGGTGTGCTAGAGAATCCACTAAGACATATCAACTAGTGGGTGTCGTGAGATGACAGAGGGAAATAAAACATTAAATTATAAAAATCTACACTTGGCAAACGGATAGGTACCGTTTGCCAAGCATGGCAACTATGGGAAAATCCTTTCAAAGAGTCAATATTTGGACAGACATATGTTCGGCATTGGACTTTTATAGGTTAATATGAATTAATTAATGAATAAATGAATTTCAATGAAACGCTGCCGTGTAGTGACGATGTAAGAGAATCCACTAACTCATATCAACTTGTAAATGTCGTAAGACATACGACGGGCGGCAAATGTAACTGGAGATGACCGGAAAAACCTTCCAGGTATCAACTGAAAATAATAAGAAACTTCGGTTGCCTATCCGATTGCCAATCTAACATAAACATACATGACATACGTTTCGTATACATGCTAACGCTACAGCTGCATAGGTAGGTATAGCTACGCTGTAGCTGTAACGTAAGGAAACCAAGAAACCAAAATTTTCTACTCTAAAATCGAAGTCATAACTAAAACTGAGTGTAATAGGTGGACGAAGCAGAAGCTCCTGGCATAAATATTTTTCATTTTTAGAGTAGATTTTTAATTAAAAAAGATCCAAAACCATCGAATTTCAAATCATGTAACCAACATGTAACCTAGGTACTTTACGGATGAAATTTCATGACGCCCTTGACCTTGAAGCCGGCTGCTCTAGTTTTCAGGTTTTGAGGTTTACCAGACGCAAAGATGTGTTGTAATTTCCCGAACGCTGCCCAGCCGAGTTGAATCCGTCGATGGACCTCTCGGTCGAAGTTGGACTTACCTAGTCAGACTATTTGTCCTAGGTAAACGTACTCGTCAACAACTTCGAGCATAGTGCTCCCAACAACTACCGGCATAGGTGTGACATGGACATTAAACATGATATTTGTTTTGTCCATGTTCATCTTAAGACCGTTGGGAGAAACTATTGAGGTCATTGAGCATAATGCTTAGGTCCTCCATCAATTCTGCCATAAGGACTATATCGTCGGCAAATCATAGATGAGTGATGTGCTTGCCATTGATGTTAATACTGTATCCATTCTAGTTCAGTAGCTTGCAAACGTCTTCCAATGCGGCGGTGAAGAGTTTCAGGGAAATAACGTCACCCTGTCTTACACCTCTCTGCAGTTGGATAGGTTTCGTACTCTGGTTCTGTACTCAGATATCCATCGTAGCCCTACTGTACAAACACTTCAGTATTTCGATATACTGACAAATCAACTTGGCACCGCTGAAGGGACTGTAGCACCAGCCAAATTTCGACGGAATCAAAGGCTTTTTCATAGTCCACATACGCAAGGCAGAGTGGCAAGTTGTACTCTTCGGTCTTGTGTACAATCTGCCGCAGGGTATGTATGTGGTCTATGGTGAGGGAAGTCCTATCGGAAACCAGCTAGTTCGGGAGACTGGAAGTCGTCGAATCTCGTGCAAGACGACTCGTAATGACTCTCGAAAACAGCATGTAGACGCGGCTCAAAATCAGGAAATCGGTCTGTAGTTCTTTAAGAGAGCGTTGTCGCCTTTTTTAAAGAACAAGACCACTGCACTTCTGCTCCACGCCTCCGGAGTAGTGTCACCACGGTGCACGGAATTAAAGAGCTTCTGAAGGACTTTAAGTACTTTCAATGAAAGAGAATTACAGCGGAGCTTTCAGAAGCTCCGCTGTAATTCTCACCTGGGGCCTTGCCGTTTTTAAGGTGCTGGAGAGCCATCCTAATCTCGTACAGCCTGATGTCTGGGATATCATCGGAATAGTGTTGGACAAGACTTGCTCATGGATCGTTACTCACACTTGCGTGTGGCTCTAACGATGATGTGTACAGCTGCCCATTTAACCTCTCAATCTCACTCAAAATCTCAGGTGTCCCGGAAATTATGCTGCCACACTCGGTCTTCAGCTTTGACAGTTGGCTCTTTCTGGCAGACAGATCTCTGGCAAAGACTTTGGAGCCCTGGTTCCGCTCGATCGCTTCGATTCGATTTATTGATAGATCAATTTTATACTACATAAAATAAAATAAAATATTTAAAAATACCACCTATGCTTCGACTGACCTGCGTGACGATATATAAAGCGCAATTTTTTCCAGGAAATAAAAAGGTCAGCCGGTATAATGCGGCGGCGCTTAATCTGATATGTGTGAAAATGGTTTTAATAGTGATGCGAATGTAAACAATTCTACAGTACTTTTAAATAACATTTTGTTTCATTTAATATATTTCTATGTCCGGATAGTCATCATCGCTACCTGTTTGTGAACAATTATTTGGTTGGCAATGATTAAATCTATCCTAATACACGTTCGGGGTCATCTACAATTGGCTTTTTAATTACCTTCATAAAACTAAATAACAAGACTTCTCACCATTAATGCAAATTTATATAATATTCCATATAATATACGGAGCATAACTTCATAGCCGACCGCAACAAGGCTTAGCTCTCCCATGTATTTTTAACATTTGCATTTTTATTTTTATTTTTTATTTATTAATATTTTTCAGGCAAATGCTCCGCGAACTTGTCCCAGCGGATTTGATAAAACTCCAAAGTTCAGCCGATTGGAAGCGTGCTATTGTGGCATCATACAACCAGGACGCAGGAATGACACCCGAGGACGCTAAGATCACCTTCCTCAAGGTCATTTATCGATGGCCAACGTTTGGTTCTGCCTTCTTCGAAGTGAAGCAAACTACTGAACCCAACTATCCTGAACTATTGCTCATCGCAATCAATAAGCATGGTGTTAGTCTAATTCATCCACAATCGAAGGTGAGTTGGTTTTATTTTTATTCTATGCAAATTTTGCCGTGTGCAAGTAACTTAAAAAAACTGTCACTCAATCTCCTTCTGAGGATATAATAGGAGTACGACCTTATTATGGCTTTTGTGAGAAGGTGTATTCGTAGCGGAATAACTATCTCGTGTATGCCTAATCTAAATATACCAACGGCGACTGGGATCATAGGATCTATATATCCAGTCGACGACCGCCAATATGCTTGCCAGGGTACCAAACGTGATAAAAGACAAATCCTGTCAAATACTAGTTTAGCCCGGGATTTCTAATAAAAGTGGCCTCTTTTTATATCCGGTAGAGGCAATAAAGATGAATAACAATATTATACTACAAAGGACAAAGGATGGTGTAAAGATTTAACGTACAAGCACGGAGACATTCGGTAGCCTTAATAATAATGATTGATGTATACTAAGCGCGATAGTAAATTCTTATTAATTATTATTTTCAATTTCCAGGACATTTTAGTCACGCATCCCTTTACGAGAATCTCCAACTGGTCGTCCGGCAATACGTACTTCCACATGACTATTGGGAACCTCGTCCGGGGCTCCAAACTACTTTGTGAAACCTCGCTGGGCTACAAGATGGACGACTTGCTCACCTCTTACATATCTCTCATGCTCACCAATATGAATAAGCAGCGTTCTATGCGAGTAAAATAAGTGCTTATAACACTGCTTAGATAATGTGTGGAATAATTGTTTTGTATATCTATGTTATATCGAATACAGTCGCTTAGCATTAACTTGTTTTTAGCGCGTACTTTAATTGCTCTTAGATTTCGCCTTATATAATATAAATTAGTAATTTTAATTCCATTCCGTCTCATACATATTACAAACGCAATATTATGGAAACATATTAAAAACATACAAACTCAATTTTTCTTAGCTCCTCCCACAGTAAGTTTAATACACTGTAAATGTATTTGAAAAAGGTCAATTAAATTAGCAATAACTTTTAGTAACTTCCGTAAACTTCCGTAAATAATAAAGTCCCTTTTTTGCGAGTAATCTGTGTATATGGCATTATGATTGTACTAAAATATGGTGTCTTTTGAAACGATTATCAATCGAAAAATAAGACTATAAAATGTACCGTTCAAATATTTATGATGAACTAAATATTAGAGACGTGGTAACTCAGAGGATAAGCTTAGAGTAAGCAAGTTCGCTAACAGCAATGAAATTGTTATTTGCAATTTTAATTACTGATTTACCACGTGCTCGGTGGTGAAGTAAAACATCGGGTGAAAAAGCTACATTCGCCAACGCATTGGGGCAGGGTGTTGGACATTTCTCTGTGTCAAAACCATATTACGAATTGGAGGTTTTACCCTTTTTAAATAAGAATGCTTCAAGTGCTTAAAGATATTCTTCATCACAACCATAATATTTAGATTATCATTGTAACGATAGAATAAAGTGCACAACACAGACATAAGAGTTAGAAAGAAATATTTATCTATGTTATGTATAATACTGTATTTATTTTATATACCGTATGTATGTAGCAGTAATATTTAAAGGGCTCCGTCCAAAAGTTTGTGAAATTATGTATTATTCAAATTTATCGATTTAACATAGACTATGTTTTGCTTAAATTGCACGAAAGAAAATATTTTGTAACAATGTTATAAATGTAAGTACAATTTATTTATCGCTTTCTACTTGTAAAATTTTTATCGAAAATAGTCAATATTATAACGTATAGGTATTATCGAAATTCATCTGAATATAGGGGTATCTAATTATTTAACAAAAATGCATATTAGTTTAACTGCGTTTAAATATTCCAAGTACTATTATATTACAGGGTATATTTCATACCACATTCCATGTTAAGACGATAAAAGATCTGCTATTTTACAATTATTTATACATTCTAAGGTGTTCGGTAGAGACGCTTTGCGATCAAGAATCATTATAAAATGATTCCTATATTTTAAGTGCCTAATCATTTACTGTAACTAATGTAGTCTATATTTATTAAGGGACCAAGAACATTAGTGATTATACGAAGGTCGATGTCGATTTGCTAATCAATGTACACACAGTTACTAGCATAATGCGCCCATAACAATGTGAGTATAATGATAAAAAGGGTATCACAGAAGGTTTTTTGGTGTTCGATAAAATATTTTAAATGTTGAGTTTTTAACACTCATACTGTGCATGATAAAATACGATGTATTTATTTGAACAAGCTAAGTTACGTGTAATTTTATTATCGATGTTATGCCATGAGTCCGGAGACATTATACTTTTGTTTGTTTTATTATTGCTTTAAATTCTTTAAAGTTGCATTTGTGAGAGGTTGTAAACATGAGTCACAATGAATTGAGTTGTTTTATTTCACATCTAAATATAATATGGTGAACGATCCCGTCTTTGAGCTTCTTATGCAACGTATAAGGCACGTTTAAAGTATCGGACGAGCAACTCGCCGAGTAATTCGCTGAGCTATTGGTGGACAAGTTCGACGCGTTTACATATTCGTTTGTATTCATTCAACGCAGATTTTTCAAAAATGAATAATGTACGTCTCGTTACTACGACATTGTGTCTACTTAACTTTTATAGACTCACTAATATTTTAAATAAAAAAGGTGTAAAAACGGCATTAGTAGAAATATTTACATTTACATTAGTAGAAATACAGTCGTCTCACGGACGTTGTAGCAATAGGACGCGCTACTTTTTAACAAAAAAATATTCGATATACCCTCAACTTAAAAAAATGGTTAAATGTATCAAGTGTCCCAAATACATAAATAAGAAAAATCCTGGACTGCTGTGTTGAAAGTGTGGCAAGTGGCTTCATGCGTCATGTGCTAACATTTCTATTGATCAGCTGACGGCTCTGTCAAGTACGGAAGCTGTGGACTGGATATGTAAGGCATGTGTAGGATCGCAGAAACCGAAGCGCCTTTCCTATATTATACCCGACCCTGAGGAAGATGACGGTGAAACATCTGAAGCAGAGGGATCCATTAATGCTGTTTCGGGAAGATCAATTGATAATAAAATGCTGCAGCCAGTTCTGCAACAATTGCGGACTGAAATCAGAAATATTATTCGAGAAGAATTGCAAAAAACATTAAAATTTTAGTCTGACAAAATTGATGAATTCAGTTTAAAAATTAACAACTACGAGACTAACGTCAAAACGCTACAGAAACAGTGTATTGATTTAAAAAGCAACTTAAAAAATATTAATCTTAAATGTAGTGTACTAGAGAGTAAAATAAATCTAATAGAGCAAAAACAACTAATGTGTCAAATAGAAATTTGTGGTGTTAAGGAATTGGCTAGTGAAGATCCGGTGAACATAGCTAAACAGGTAGCTAGGTAAAACAAAGTTGCAGGAAAGCCAAAATGACGTAATTAGGGCACACCGTAAAAGACAAAATCGAACTGTGACTTCACACCGGATAGAACATTCACCAATAATTGTTACGCTGCAAGATTGAGCACGAGACATCTGGCTGGCATAAAGCCAAGGACTTAAAAATGACAGCGGCCGAACTAGAATTGCAAGGTAGCGATAAGGTGTATTTACGCGAATCACTAGCACCCGGTATTGCATTTTTATTATGGAAGACCAAGGAAGCCCATAAAGATACTTACAAATTTATATGGTGCAGAAATGGCACAATTCTAATACGCAAAGAAGAAAAGGCGAAAATAATCTCCATACGCACTCTCTTTGAATTAGAATCGGTTAAGGCCTCGCAAAACAAACTTATTAATTAAACAAGAAGCCGTTTTAGTTAAGTGTTAAGTGCTGGAAAACATTTTTTTTAATTTCTCTTTTATATTTTTTGTTAAATATTGCTTCTGTGTATATTCAATTAATATCATTTTATACCTTAGATAATGGATATTGTAGGAATAGAACACAATATAAATCCCAACATTATTGAGTTAAACTGTGATAATTGGGATGAGTTTGCAGACAAATTAAACTACTAAATAATTGTTCGCTTCTGTTTTTACATGTAAACATATCATCATTACTTAATAATTTTGCACATCTGGAATATATAATAAAAAATACTACACACATAATTCACATAATCATAGTTACTGAGGCTAATATTCAATATCACTGTGTCAACATGTTTAATTTACTAAATTATAACTTATATTACGAACTAAGAAATGGCAGAAAAGGCGGCGGCATTATGCTATATGTTCACTCATCCCTGCATTTTAGCAGACTTCAAATATCAACTAAGGAATGCGAATGTATTAATTAATGGCCAAATAAACTTAAAAAATGGCACTGTAGACCTATGTGCTGTATATAGACCACCTGATACAAACAAAGTCCGTTTTGTTGATGAGTTAGCTAATGTTGTTGGTAAACATTCACCTAAAATTTGCTGTATAATTATGGGTGACATGAACTTAAATACAAAGACGACAAATCCCGTTAGCACTAGTTGTCTTAACACACTTTGTGAATTAGGATTTGACCGTGGTATAACGCAATACACAAGAATAGAAAAAGGGAACCGAATAACAAAATCATGTTTAGATCACATTCTGATTAGAACTGTATGCAAGAACGAGGTGTGACGGCCGGTGTGAACATCGCGCCAGCTGACCATAAAATAATAGGCTGTGCGATTCTCGGACTCGGAGCGGAGCCGAGCTGTGGCTCACGGGCTCAGAACGCGCCGCAGCTCACTACTAAGTTGGATAATAAACAACTTCGTAGTGAACTCGATTTAAAAGATTGGAAGTTGCCGTTGAGTTACTCCGATCCAAACGACATTGTTAATTACATAAGGACGCAAATGAATTGCGCATACGATAAATGTAAGTATACAAAAACTGTAGTTATTAGTAAGCGCAATTGTTGTGAGTGGTCTAATAGGAAACTAGTATATATGTGTAAAAAACGCGATGAATTATTTAAAATCTGGCGGAAAGATGACAATAATTCATTAAAAAGATTAAATTACAATAAATATAGAAATAAAACAAATAAATATGCTCAATTTTTACGAAATCAAAATACTACAAAAGAAATTTGTGAAAATTTTAGAAATCCAATAAAACTTTGGCAGTTAATAAATAATTTAACTGTTAAAATAATACGTTGTATTGATGATATATTACAAAAAACATTTAATATTGATCCTAAAACATTAGCAAATAAATTTGGCTTAGAATTTGATAAAAATGTTAAAAAAATATGCTTAAACTGTAATAAGCCACTCTTAGATCCCCGTTCCTATGAAATTAATCCAGATAGAACCGTAAAAATAAAAAAGCTGCGGATGCTGATGTTACCAAAATTATTAAAACAATGAATGATAAGAAAGGCCCCGGGTTTGATGGTATTCGCGTTTGTGATATAAAATACATTTCGAAATCAATGGTGCCTCTAATTACATACTTAATTAATCAATGTCTAAAAACGTCTATTTATCCGAATTTACTAAAAATAGGTGTAATCCGACCAATCTACAAAAAAGGCAAACATAATCTTATCTTTACTTCTTTTAATCTTAAATTTACGCGAACACTACACATTGAATAAAACTAAATTTACGGATTTTATCGCGTTTATTTAACTACTTTTACTTATTTTTAATTCTCGACGTTTCGGGTGCTTTACAGCAACCATGGTCACGGGGGGGACTGAGATG